GACTGATCAATCCCTCTGCCTCCAAGGTGTGCCTGAAACCCTCTTTGCCAGCTGCCTGCTGGGGCAATAATCCTGCTGACAGAGCCACGAGAGTTTTTGTCTTTCTCCTGTCGGGGCTGAGCTGAGGGTGAAGCTGTTCAGAGGGAAAACACTGGCTCTGTCCTCCCTGGGGGGTGGGTGAACGCTGGGTGTGCTTCTCGCCCTCGTTGGGAAGGGAAAGCTAGGGTGCTCCCTGGCACCCAGCATCCCACGGGCAGCCTGATTCTGGCAGGTCTGTGCCCAGCAAACCACCGGCTCGAGGGCAAAAAACCCTCCGAGCAAACCATTGGCTCGAGGGCAAACCCCCTCCCCTGTGCTCTCCATCCCCTGTGTTGGGAACCAGCCTCTCCACGTGTGACCGCTGCTTTCCAGCCCAAAAAGTGGGGAAAAGCATCATTTTCGGGGCGGAGGGGGCAGGGCTGGTGAACGAGCACGTTTTCGCTGGCAAGAAACCCGCTCTCAGCAAGTCTGTGCCTGGCAGCCCCGCGGGGCTAAAAATACCCAGCCAAGGGCTCGGGCTGTGTCTGTTTTCTCAGCTCACCAGCTGTCTCCTCGCATCCTCACGCCTCTACCCCGTGATTATCCCATCACTTAAGGCCCTCTAAGCCCAGGCAGCAGCATTTTTTGGTGGTTTTACCGGAGGCAGCTGAGAGGTTTTGCTGGTGGTGGTGATGAGCTCAGAGCCCTCTGATGCCCTGGGCTGCTCCAGCTCTGCCCTGCCGGGGTGTGTTTGGGCTGTCACCCACCCTGACGTCCCCCAAGGTCCTCAAAAGGGACTGGTTGGACCTGCAGCTCTGCCTGAGCACTGCTGAGCTCTGCAGGGACAGCATCTGGTGTCACCCACCTGCGGGAGGAGGTGCCTGGGAATGGGGGATTCGCTGCTGCTTTTGGAGAAAGGGGAAAATCCCGAGGTTTGGGGGGTGCAGAGAGTAGGGGATGCTCATTTAGAGGGCAGGGACCCCAGGCAGGAGCTCCCTGTGCATGGATGTTGCTGTGTCTGTGCCCCTGTGTGCACATCCCTGTGCTCACTGAACACAATTCCCACTCCCAAAGGCTGGAAGGCAGCAGGGATCAGCCCCAGCCTGGGCTTGGCTTCCACCACAAATCCCAGAATCCCAGACTCATCAGGCCTGGAGGGGACCTCCAGCCATCAGCCCAGCACCACCATAATCCCCCTTAAACCACATCCCCAGGGCACATCCAGATGCCTCTGGAACACCTCCAGAGACTCGGAATGGACTGGTGGTGACTCCACCACCTCCCTGGGAACTCACTCCAATGCCTGACCACTCTTTCAGGGAACACTTTTTTTTCTCTAATATCTAATCTGAACCTCTCCCAGTTCATCTTAAGGTCATTTTCCTCTCATCCTTTCACTCAAGAATGCCAGAATTTAAACTCCTATTTTGTATAAAACCTAACTAGCAAAAAAGCCAGAACACATTAAGGAATAAATGGAATATCTCCTGGAATTTTTAAGCCTTGTTTGGTGAAAAAGGAAGAGCTGCAAAGAATTGAAGAATAAAACCTTTGCAGCTGCCCTGACTCTGGGGATGAACCTTCCTGGTGTCTGAGCTGCTCCTGGGATTTGTGGTTTTTGCAGTGAAAGCTGCAGTGGTTGAATCCAGGAATAATAACTTCCAAATCCACCGTGTCGGGGGGGAATGGGACCCCCCTCCAGGGAAGGCACCCCAAAAACCCTGGGCATGGAGGAGCTTTGGGTCGCTAATTTTGCCACAGACTGGACACTAATTGGGCAGTGTTGTGCCATTTCTCACCTTTGCTGAGCATCCTCAGGAGGACAGAGCACAGAGGCTTTTGGGGAGCCGGGGGGTGGGATGAGTCCATCCTGGATCAGGTCCCCATGATCCTGTGCTCACCCTCTCCAGGCTGAGGTGTCTCCCTCCCCAAGCACAGCAGGGATAACGGGGCATCCCTGTGTGAAACACGGGATTAAAAAACCCCCAAAGCCACCCCCAAAGTGCCCGAGCTCCACCGTGGGGGGAGCAAAAAGAAAACTGGTCTTGGATGTAAACCTGTCCCTCCTCCTGCACCACGTGGGTCCAGCCCCTTGGATCACCCCCGTGGGACGTGGGGGAGCCACCACAGCCCCCTGGGACTGGCACCTGCAGGGTGTCCTCGTAAGGAGGGAGTCTCTCCCTTGCAGCTGGGATTCATTTCCATCCCATCGTTGCTCTGGTCAGATTTGTGGCTTGGTCATTCCCCACAGCATCTCCCCCTCCCTGAGTGCTTGCAGGGCTCTTCCTTCCTGCCTTGATTAATGTCTCTTAATTCACCTGCTGATTCTCTCAGTTCCTGGCTGGTTTGGCCGTTCATGCCGTTGGCACTGTCTGCTCTCCCCAGCCTGGATGTTCTTTCTCCACACTCACCCCACAGGCAGAGGCACAGCGGTGAAATGGGGCAGAAAAGTCACCCCATTTGGGTTTTGCCCCCAAACTAAGAGGGCTGAGCCCTGGGGAGAGGCTGATTCCTGCTTTGCTCGGCCCCAAGTCTCCCTGGAGCCCGGGACATCTGCCCTCCAGGAGAGCTGCTGCTGTGGCCACGTGTGTGAGGGGGGGTTATCCCTGCTAATATGGGCCAGGAGAGCTGGGGGGCATTTTACCTGCTTAATTCCAGGGCTGAGGCTCATTTCCAACCCAACCCAAGGAGAGCAGGGGCTGGAATGGTCCCTCTCTCTGTCCTTTTCCTCTGCCAGCCCTTGTTTTTGTGGGATGCTGCAGGGGTGGGATGCCCTTGGTGCTCAGTTCTCCCGGTCATCCATGTCCCAGCAGCCAGGAAAGGCGCAGGAACAACCCTCAGAGCTCCAGAACAGTTTTATCCCACTCTGGGATCAAGTCTATAAAGGGAGAGGAGGACACCCACCTGCAGGACAGCCCTGTCCCTCCTCCCTGGTGTCCCAGAGCTGTCAGGGCAGCACGCTGGGTGCACACCGAGGGGCTGCTGCTTCTGCCAGAGCTCCTCTATTTTTAGAGGGTTTTTTTGTGTCAAACTCTCCATCTGCTGATGAGCCAATGTCAGCCCAGGAGCAGAACTCCAGTTCTCTTGGCCTGGGTGGGCACAAAGGCACCTTTGATGGGGGGCAGTGCCCTGCTGTGCCAGAAGCTGTTGGACACACGAGCTTTGATCCCAGTCCAAAGGCCAGGACAGGCTGACCCAGCCCAGGGCTGTGTGCAGGGCCTTTATGTCCATGTGTGTGTGTTGGTTTGAAAGGGAAGTGAAATAGGGATGTTCACAGAACCATCAAATCCTAGAATGCCTTGGGTTGGAAGGGACCTCAAAGCTCATCCCACCCCACCCCTGCCACGGGCAGGGCCACCTCCCACTAGCCCAGGTTGCTCCAGCCTGGCCTGGGACACTTCCAGGGATGGGGCAGCCACAGCCTCAGGTGCATCCACAACCTCAGAACATTCATCCCTGTCCTTGAGTGTTACATCTGCTGTAAAGTTTTGAGAACTTCAGGGGGCACTTCCACAAAAGCAGCATTAGACCAGCAACCCTCACCCTGCAACAACCCTCATCCTGCAACAACCCTCACCCTGCAACAACCCTCATCCTGCAGCAACCCTCACCCTGCAGCAACCCTCACCCTGCACTTGCCACGTCGTGTTTTGCTGCCCTGCCCGTGGTTTGTCCCCTGGCACAGATGGTGATGAGGGGTGGGCAGGTCCCCAGGGGGGCTGGGGGTGGCAGTGGCACATGAACCCTCACTTCTGGGGGCTGAAACCTCCGTGTCAGGAGAAATCCCTGCCTGGCACCTTGTCTGTGATGGTTTTGGTCTGCAGAAGTGCTGAGCCCACAGGCCCAGCCGTGCTTTAATCCTGAGCACAGGCCCAGGTTGGTGGCTCTGCCTCTTCCCTCCAGCCTCTCCTCCCTGGCACTGGCCAGGGAATGGTGCTGGGCAGGAATCTGGGGATACCTCCGTGCCCTGGGAAGGGTTTGACCAGGGAGGCTGTGCTGGAGTTCAGTTGTTCCTGAGCAGCTGGGCCCAGCACATCTGTCCTGCTGCTGCCAAGGGAGGGGGACATGGAGAGGGGGAACATTAATCCAATCATTCAACTCATCTGTAGCCGTGTTTCCTTGCCAGGTTTGGGCCAGACTCAGGTTTAAGCCTGATTTTCTGTGAATGTGAATTCCCTGGGGCTGGAGAACACTCGGGCCGTGGGGTCCCTGGGCAGCCCAGGGGCTCCAGGGAGGGAAAAGGGTCCTGGCCCAGGATATGTGGATGCCAGAGGTGGTTACAGGATTTTTGGTGCTGGGGGTTCTGTTCCCTGCAGCTCAGTGCCATCCTGGGTGCAGTGCGGTGGGTGCAGGGCGGTACAACCCAGCACAGCCCCATTCCTGCGGGTCCTGAGCCTCTAGGGTTTGATGGGAGGGCAAAGGGGGCTGGGCAGGTGCCCCCGGGCATTTTGAGGGCAGCAGGAGGGGTCTGATCTCTGTCCCTTCTCCTGTAGGTGTTTGAGGAGCTGCAATGCCCAGCGAAGACACGTTCCCACGAGGGCAGTGACACCTGGCCCGGCCTTAGGGAGAGCAGCCCATCGTCCTCAGACATGCTTGGGCAGCCCCAAAACCCCTCGGACCCTCCCTGTGCTGCTGCTGGCTCGGGCTCCCCGCTGGGACGAGTCCTCAAGGGTCACTTTGCCCCCCTCTGAGCAGCCCCTGATGCTGCAGCCCCTCCAGGAGGCAGCCCAGAGGTGACCCAAGACTGTGGCAGTGACGAGCGGGGGGATCTGAGACCCCGAGGACCTCGCTGGTGCCGAGGCCATCCCCCCATCCCGGCCGGGGTGATGCCAACCCCTGCCTAGCCCCCGGGCGAAGGGATGGGGGATCCCCTCACCTCCAGCACCCCGCTGCCCCCTCCTGCCCCGGCTCCCCCGGCCCGTGGGGGCCCGTGGTGATGTGAGCAGGGCCCCGAACCCCCCGGCCCCCAGCGCCCACCCCCTCAGGCACCACCGCCCCCCCCCGCCATGATGTGCGAGGTGATGCCCACCATCAGCGAGGGGGACCCCCTGGGGCCCCCCCAGGGCTCGGAGGCCGACGCCGACTTCGAGCAGCTGATGGTGAACATGCTGGACGAGAGGGACAAGCTGCTGGACACGCTGCGGGAGACGCGCGAGACGCTGTCGGTGACCCAGAGCCGCCTGCAGGAGACGCTCCGGGAGCGGGACCAGCTCCAGAGGCAGCTCAACTCCGCCCTCCCGCAGGTAAGGAGCCGGCCCTGGGACGGGCAGGAGCCTCCGCTGAGGCCTCGGGCTGCGGGATGTGGGGTTTAGCTTGTGCCTTTGGGCGCCTGGAGCTGCTCTGAGCGGATTTGTTGCACCTTGTGTCGGTGGGAAAACCTGGAGGTTCTCCTGAGCCACAGCCAGCTCAGACACCTCCTTCCCTTTGGAGCCCTCGCTGTGAGTCCAAGTGGGGAGGTGTGGGAGTTCAGTCCCCCCTGTGCACGGGGAATGGTCTTGGAGAAGGGACAAAACCTTCCTGAGACAGCCCAGGGTGTCCTCTGCAGCCCCAGAGCCTGCGCTCACCCCAGGGAACAGTCCCTTGGGAAGCAGCTCCTGGGGAGCAGGCGGCACATTCCGGGGAATGGATCCGGCCTGCTGCCTCCAGCCAACTCCCTGGGATGGCAGGAGGTCCTGAGGGGGCACTGAGAGTCCCCAGGTGGGGACATTAACCCCTCACCTTCCCCACTGCTGGAGGGCAGCCCCATCTCGGCCTCTCCCACACCAGGAAGGCCCCTTCCCTTCAGCCCCATCACCCACTGGGACTCCTTTGCCTCGAGGTCCTGAGAGGGGACCCTGGAGGCAGAGCTGGGAGCAGGGTGGGGATGGGACACTGCAGGGAGCTGAGGGAGCAGAGGGGCAGCCAGGCTGCCAGGGGGCTGTGCTCAGCAACAACCCAGGGTATGGGGAATGCTCAGCAACAACCCAGGGTATGGGGAATGCTCAGCAACAACCCAGGGCACGGGGAATGCTCAGCAACAACCCAGGGCGTGGGGAATGCTCAGGAACAACCCAGGGTGTGAGGAGTCAGGGCTCACCTTGGCTCTCCTGAGCTGTCTGGGGTTGCTCTGCTCCTGGTTCCTCACCTGCAGGACCCCCTCCAGGTGCTCCACAGACCTGGACTTGGGCTCAGCCTCCACGAAAATGCTCAGGTCAGGAAAGGGTGAGGTGGATCAGAATCACAGAGCTGTGCAGGGGGGATCTGAGCTGCCCACTGTCCCTGTGGGGCCCTGTGGGACAGGACACAGTGTCCCAGGGCCCAGATTTGGGGGAACAGGGATTTTGGGGGGGCTTTTGCATTGCTCCACTGTGGGTGTGATGTGGCGAGGAGCCCAACAGCCAGGGGAGGCAGGAGCCTTCCAATGTTTATATCCATCCTGACTGTGCCAGTGCTGAGAGCTGGGATCCTCCTTGCCTGGGCACCGGAGTTTGGGGCACGCAGGGAGATGGGAAATTCCTCGTGGATCAAAGCTGGTGGCACAAGCAGGACGGAGCTGGAGCTGGTGGCTGCCCAGCTCTCTGCATCCCTGCTCCTCCCTGGATGGGGGAAAGTATCTGGGCCAGCACATCTCCAAGCATGGAGCTGGGCTGCTCCTGGCTCTGCAAAAATCCCAGCGGTGCTTCCCAGAGGCTCCTGGGGACGAGCTCCTCCCTGTCCTCAGCGATGTGCTGCGACATTCCAAAGTGCTGGGTGCATCCAGGGCCAGCACCACGACATTCCCAAGTGCTGGGTGTATCCAGCACCACCTCCGTGTGCCGGCGGGGGTCGGTCCCCTCTGCTCCCTGCTCCTGTGCCAGCATTCCGGAGGGAGCACGCCAGGTCACCCTGACGCTCCCACTGCCCGCCCCGCCACAGCCGCCCGGGATTAAGGGATGCGGATTTATCCTCCTCTCCCGCTCCGGGAGCGGGCCCTCGGAGCCTCGGCACGGGTGGGGTGTGCACGGAGCAAACTGGGTCAGGGCACAAGGACCCGCCGGCAGCGCCGCACCCGCGGCCCCGCCGGGTGCCCCCCGCTCCATCGGGGCCACGTCCCGCTGCCCCCGCCCCGGGATGTGACCAGGGGGACATCCCATGGGGAATTCCCCCCGGCTGCCGCTGCCTGCCGCCGCCCTGCTTGTCCCCGCGCGGGCGGGGGGTCCCCGGTGCCCGCTGTGCCCCCCGGCCCCGGGGCTGCCCCCGCGGGACATGAGGGCTCGCCATGGACTCGGGAAGCAAAGCCAAAGGCGCCCACCCGCCCAATGGGATTAACCCCAGCATGTACCAGGTAAGGGGGGCACGGCGGGTCCCTTCCCCGGGGCACCGTGTGGGGCCATCCCCTGGGTCTGCCCCATCCTCTTCCTCCTTTGTGAGCCCTTTTGCCCGGGAGCTTCCTGCGACGTGTCAGACCCCGCTGGGATGGGATCCAAGCGGGATTGCTGGGAGAAACCTTCTTTGGGGGGCAGGGTTGGGCACCCGGGTTTATCGGTGGCCTCCCACGGGGCTGGCAGCCACGAAGAGCCGGGTTGGAGCTGCTCACAGGATGCACTGCCCGGGAGGCTGGCAGGGAGGGAGGCTCGGGATGTGGCACTCGGCATCCTCTCAGGGAAGAGGGGCAGCTGGAGTCTGCTGTGTCGGCACGGGATCTAAAGGGATGGGCAGGGAATGGGTGTCTGGGGCAGATCCATGCTTGGGGCAGGCAGGGAATGTGCCTGTCCGTGGAGCAGGCAGGGATGTGTTTGTCCATGGGACAGGCAGGGATGTATCTGTCCAGGCAGGGATGTGTCTGTCCATGGGACAGACAGGGATGTGCTCATCCATGGGCAAGCAGGATGTGTCTGTGCATGGGACAGGCAGGGATGTGTCTGTCCATGGGCAGGCAGGGATGTGCTCATCCATGGGACAGGCAGGGATGTGTTTGTCCATGGAACAGGCAGGGATGTGCTCATCCATGGGACAGGCAGGGATGTGTCTGTCCATGGGCAGGCAGGGATGTGCTCATCCATGGGCAAGCAGGGGTGTGCTCATCCAGGGGCAGGCAGGGATGTGCTCATCCAGGGGGAGGCAGGGGATGCTTCAGGGGTGCTCCTGCCTGTGGCTCCCATTCCCCCTTTCCTGAGCCACGTAGCCAAAGCCATCCCCACCCCCAGCCCATGGGGGATCCCTCAGCCCCCAAAAGGCAGAACTCCAGGGCAATTTCCCGGGGAGCCTAAGCTGCCTTAATGCTTCTTACATGATTTATTTATTCGTGTGGGAGTGCTGAACGTGCCTTAATCACCCTGGAAGCTCCCGGCTCCAATCCCGCCGCCCTCCCTGGTTTCCAGGGAGTGTGTGGCCACCGACTGAGCCCTGAGTGGGGTCTGGGTGCTCTCAGCAACCCCCCCAGAGCCCTGGCAGGGGTGCCAGCTCCCTCCTGCCTGGCCACCCAGCTCCTGGGTGTGGGTGGCACCCAGGGATGTGACATCCAGCTGTATCCAGGTGTGTTCCCAGGGCGGGGTCCCGTGGGGGATGGGACTCCTCCCTACCCTGGGGTGTCTGGGGGGTTTGGCAGGAGTCCCTGTGCCCAGCAGTGTCAGGGGGAGAACAGACTCCCAAATTCCACAGGGCTGCTGTGCTGAGGGTCCCGATGGCCATGGAAACCTCCCACAGTTCATCCATCCAGAGCTGCCTGGGGAGGTGAGAACTGGCCTTTTTGGACAGATTCCGTAAGACTCCCTGAGCTCCACGGAGGTCCCTCAGGAGCTGGGGAGGGTCCTGGCACCAAACAACCACTCCAAATGCTTCCCTTTAACTTAAAAAGATATTTAGGGTTAACTTGTGAAGAACAGCACAAACCCAGGAACCTCAGCAGCACTGAGCAAGGGGAAAACACCCATGGGGTAAGCCCCTTAAAGTGTCTCCAGATTTTGGGAAGATATGGAGGGGTCTGGCAGCTGTGTTGGATCGTTGGAGTTGGTCATGCTCCCACAATACCAGGCCTCTGAGGTGTTGGATTCCTGCTTGCTCCATGAGGGTGGAAATACTCCTCCTGACCACGTGCTGAGAAGGGAGGACACCAGTTCCCCAGGGATGGTCCCTCAGAGCCCCAGAGCTGTAGCCAAGAGGTGCAGGACGTGCTCAGTGCTGGGGGTGGGTGATGGTGGGAGCCTTGGGTTTACCCGGCGGGATTTAATCTCTGTAATCCCCTGCTACACATCCTGGAGTTGTGTTCATCCCCTGGGCTCTGGTTTGGGGCTTTCTCATCATCCTGCACCCCTCCTGGGGCACAGGGGTGACAGGGGTGCCAGCCCCCAGCTGGGACAGGCCATGGCTGGGGCTCCATCCCTGTGTTGTGTCGAGTCAGCAGCGCTGGATTCCTGGCACACCCTTCCCACACATCCACGCCAGGGCCCCTCAGGAGCAATCACTCCAATTAGGGGTCTTAAAATGCCATTAATCCTGCAGCTGGAGCCGGTGTGTCCCCGGGCTGGGTGTGTTGGAGCAGCAGCAGCCATGCTCCTGCCACAAATTCCAGGAGAATTCCTCTTGTGGTGGTGCATCCCTGGCTGTGCTGCCCACAGCGGTGGGAGAGGCAAGAGGTGGCACTGGACTGGGGGGCTTTTGCATTTCTCTTCTCCCCCAGAGCTTCTTAAACCCCTCCTTGCTTTCCCAGCCATCTCCATGGGGTTGGTTCCTGGCTGCCTTCCAGCTCTTCCCTGTGCCTTCCCCACTGGTGCAACCCCAACACCCCCCCCCCGACATTCCTGGTGCTGAGTGGAGATCCCAGCCCCATCCACAGCATCCCTCTGGGTCTCCCTCCCTGCTCTGAGGTCTCCACCCTGCTCCCCATCCCCCTGGGCCTTGGGGCTGAGCCCAGCCGGTTGTGCTGAGGGTGCTTTGGTTTTAATCCCAATTAGCTGCTTCCTGGGCCGCCGGGTTTCCCAGCGGGTTCCCGAGGGCTCCCAGGGCTGTGTCTCATCATCCCTCCTCCGACCGAAGATCAGGCACCTCTCCTTCACTTTCTAATCTGGTTATAGGTGTCCCTGATTAGTCCAAGAGCCGATCTGAGCCAGGGAAAGGCCTGGGAGGCTCCTGGCTGTGGCCAGGGCTGAGGGAAATCATCTGGATCTTCTTTATCCATACTTTGCTGGGATGTAGGACACTGGCACGCCGTGGATGGGGGTGCAGGCTGCTCTCCACAGTGTGACACTGCCGCCAGGAGCTGGGGACAGCTGCTCACGGTCCCCAGACTGGCCCGGTGGCCCAGAGTGAGGTGGCAGTGCCGGCATCTGGCACAGCCCGGGCTGGGGGAGGTGGCTACACGCGGGTGCTGGAGTGATTTATCCCTGTTTTTCCTTCCCAAGGCATCCAAACAAGGCCCCGTGTGCTCGGCTCACCCTCCCTGCCGGCCTGTCTCGCCTCGGGGTCGTTGCTATTTTTGGTGTAAACGTTCCTTTTTGCGGCCTTTCCCCGGGGGACGACGCTCGTCACCGGTTCCTTTATTTGCCGTGGGATGCCGGGACACAGAGCGCGGGATGCAGGCGGCCATTCCCGGCGGGATGGAGGGCTCGGGGAGGAGCGGCCCGAGGGGATAGGATGGGATGGGATGTGAGCGGAGCCGCTCCGTGTCTGACCCGCTGACCGGGTATTGCCGGGCCGGCCGCGGGGGGGGCTGCCCGTCTCTCTCCGGAGGATTTTCTCCCTTTTAATCCCCTCTTTCGGGATGAAAGGCTGATTGTGGGCACAATCTGTGCAGCCTGCCCACTCCAGCGCGGGGCGAGGAGAGCTGGGTCCCAGAGATCCCGGTCCCCTTCCCTCGCTGCCTCCCATCCATCCCACGCTGCCTCGTTCGCTCCAGTGGGAAGAATATCCACGGCCACAGTCTCTGTTTTCCCTGCCGGCCACGGGGCAGAGCAGATCCGGGGGCTTTGGATCCACAGGGCTCCTGCCCCGGTGCTGGAAGAGCCCACAGTGTTTCCCCGCTCGCTGAACGACATTCCGGGGCCACCACGACTGCCAGGATTCTCTTCCCGAGCTCCTTAAGCCTCGCTGCCCTCGTCTTGGCACGCTGAGGGGCCGGGGCAGTGACACATCCCTGAATCTGAAGCAGCCCTTCGATGCACGGGCTCCTCGCGCTGCTGCTTCCTGCTCGCCGGCATTCCCAGCCCGGATTTAATCTGCAGGGATGCTCAGGAGCTGCTCGCAGCGATTGCATAACCCACGGAACACACACGGGGGTTGAGGCTGGGCTGGGCAGGGCTGGGATCCCACTGGGCCAGGATCCCACCGGGCTGGGAGAGCTGGGATCCCACCGGGCTGGGAGAGCTGGGAGAGCTGGGATCCCCCTGACTGGGAGAACTGGGATCCCACTGAGCTGGGATCCCTTCGTCTGGAAGAGCTGGGCTCTGGGAAGGGCTGGGCTGGCACAGGGGGTTCCCGGGGCAGCTGGGTCTGCAGTGGGGTCACTGCACGGGGGGACTGTGGGATGGGCTGGGAGTGAGTGTGGGAGGGGGCCTGGGCACGGCAGAGGCTGGTGATGGGGGTTTGGGGTGTTGTGACAAGTTTGGGGGAGAACTGATGGGGACAGGGGTGAGCCCAGGGCTGGAGGGGTCTCTGGGGAAGAGATGAGGACAGGGATGATGCCGGGACTGGAGTGATCCCAGGATAGGGGTGACAGCAAGTCTGGAGTGGTCCCTGGGGAAGGGTTGGGAACAGGGATGAGCCCAGGACTTGGGTGATCCCAGGACTGGAGTGATCCTTGGGGCAGGATGGAGAAAGGGATGAGTCCAGGGCTGGAGGAGTCCCTGGGGAAGAGATGGGGACAGGGGTGGCCCCGGGGCTGGAGGGGTCCCTGGGGAAGGGATGGGGACAGGGATGGCCCTGAGGCTGGAGGGGTCCCTCGGGAAGGCCTGGGGCAGGAGTGGGTCTGGGAAGGAGCCAAGGAACTCGGGCCCTGGAGTGATGCCAGGGTGAGGATGTGAGGGGGCAGCTCCTGGGGCAGGTGAGGGGCAGGAGAGCAGCTGTTCACAGGGACAAGGACTCTTCCCTTCCCCACACTGGGACCTGCTCAGGTCCTGTCCCCCTGTGGGGCTGCAGCTTCCCCAGTGCCACCACCACCCCCAGCAGCCCCAGGCTGCAAAAACCCCTCCAGCACGGGAGGGTCAGGGTGGGAAGGGAGAGGGAAAACCTCCGGGATGGAAAAGCTCTGGATTTCTTGGAGCTTCAGCTGCTGCAGGAGGTCTCACTTGGAGCTGAACGGAGCATTTGATTCAGCCTAAGCCTCAATGTTTTGCTTCGGTTTGAAGGGGTTTTATTTGTTTAACCTGAAAATTGAAGTGATAGAGAATCTCATGCTGTAAAACTGCTCTCAACCCTCAGTGGAAATTTGGTTTGTTAATGCTCCATCAAATCCTTCTCAGCTTCTTCTGAAACCCTTTGCCTTTTAAAATTCTTCTCAGCAACACTGTGAAAGTGGTGTAAATTCACAACTCGTTCCCACATTTGCATTTTTCACCCTAAAAAAATCCCAGCTGCGAAACGTCTCCTGGTCCTGGCACTGCTCGGGGACTGAAGGAGTGCCTGAAGGAGCAGTGGGATGTGCTCCTGGAGCAGTGGGAGGTGCTCCTGGGCTCACCCAGCTGCTGGGGGTTCAGTTTTTAAGGGAAAGCCAACCCTCCCGCATCCTGGGAACTTCAGGGGGAGTTTCCTTTCCCTTCTTGACACAGCCATGAGTGGGATTGGTGTTTCCCAGGAGCCCATCCCCAGGGATGTGCTGGCTGGGCAGCTCTCCTTTGGCAGTGCCCTGGGCACGGCTCTTCCTGGCTGTCACCTCCCGGTGACAGGAGCAAGAACTGGTGGCACCTGGCACGATTCCTGCTGTGTCCCATCCCTCTCCTCTGGGGTTTGGGGCCCAGGGCTGCCCTGTAGGAAGCTCAATGGGGCTCCACACACTGGACTGGGGCAGATCTTGCTCTTTCCTTTGGAAGGAGGTTTTTTTTGATGATTCCAGGTCCTGAGGCCATGGCAGAGGGTGGCTGAAGGCCAGGGGATGGAGGCTGGCTGAGGGCCAGGGGACTGAGGCTGGCTGAGGACCAGGGGATTCATCCTGGCTGGCTTTGTGGGGAGGTTTGGCCTCCTGGGAGGCTCCAGGGCGGGTGCTCTGCATCGAGGGGACAGTGGGAATGGGAACACGCTGGTGGCCTTGGCTGGGAAGCTCTAAATGCCATCAAGCACCTCTGGAGCTGCAGAGCAGTGTCTCCTGTCACTGGACATCAAACCAAATGGGTAAATATCAGGATGCTGCGTTTTTCCTCATGCAAAGCACTTGGAGAGGCCAGGAATGTGGCCTGGGATGTGCTTCCCCACCGACCTCCTGATGCTGCCCTCTCCCTGGTCGGGTTTGGGTGGGAAGTGCCCCGTGCTGGAGGTCCCAGCAGCGAGGCTGGAACTCTGGCTCCATCCCCACCCCTCTGCCCCCATGCCCATCCCTGTGCCCCCATCCCCGTGCCCCCTGACGGCCCTGTCCCCGCAGGAGTTCGCGACGCTGACGCGGGAGCTCAGCGCCTGCCGGGAGCAGCTCCTGGAGCGCGAGGAGGAGATCTCGGAGCTGAAGGCCGAGCGCAACAACACCCGGGTAAGGGCGGGGCCGTCGCTGTCCCGGGGATGTGGGACCCCCCCCAGCCCGGCGGTGACCCCCCCTCGCTCTGCCCCCCGCAGCTCCTGCTGGAGCACCTGGAGTGCCTGGTGTCCCGGCACGAGCGCTCCCTCCGCATGACCGTGGTCAAGCGCCAGGCCCAGTCCCCGTCCGGCGTCTCCAGCGAGGTCGAGGTGCTCAAGGCTCTCAAGTCGCTCTTCGAGCATCACAAGGCGCTGGATGAGAAGGTGAGGCGGTGTTACACTCGATGTTACACTCCGGAGTTTGAGCTGTAAGCTCTGCCCAGAGCGCTTACGTTTTAAGACTTTTTAAAAGCCTTTTGGTTTGTCATAGCCTTGAATTCGCATCCAGAGGAAGAGTCACACGCTCTCCTCTAAGAGAACTTCTTTTGATTTAGTGAGGAAAAGAAGGTGTTTCGGCAAAAGGTTTTACAGGAGTTAAAATGCAACCAAGGAAAATTGTTTTACTAAGACACCCAGCGCAAAGACCCGTTCCCCAGGATCAATACACCAGCTTTAGTAAAACACAGTTCATGGGTTTTAAGTTGCCCACAAGGGAAAGGAAAGAGTAAAAGAAGAAAACAGATTAAAAGGGTAAAGAAAGAGAGAAGAAAGGGAGAAGGAGAAAGAGGAAAGGAAGGTCAGAATTCCATGTATGTGTCCATTGAGTGACAGTTTTCGCAGGGTATTTATACCCTTGACCAAACAACTTACAAAGTTTTATTTTAAAGGTGCATTCATACAGAGTCGGTACATGACAACTTGCAAAGTTTTATACTTACTATTAAATAGTCATTATAATTACACGTATATTTTAAGACCAATAGGTGACTACTCTTGTGTTAAAATATCAATTACTGTTTGCTGAAGCTCTTTTCTTAATCTTACACCTCATTTTGTCGGGAGGGCAGATCCTTACTGGCCTCTCTTGAGCTCTTCTCTTACCTGGTCACTGGGGGAGTTTTCTGTTTACAAGCAGTTACAATCTGGTATTTATTCAAACCAAACTTGTGGTTACATTTTACAAATTTATACTTGTGCTAAGGGCAGCTGAGTGCTGTAGGCCTGGAGCCTCGAGTCCTTGTTTCATATGGAACCCTTCAGGAGGAAGGCCTTGGATACCCCAAAGCTGCCCCTGGGAGCTGGGGGGCTGTCAAGGGGGTTTGGGGCTGTTGGGGACAGGGGCCTTGGATACCCCAAAGCTGCCCCTGGGAGCTGGGGGGCTGTCAAGGGGGTTTGGGGCTGTTGGGGACAGGGAGCTCTCCTGAGCCCCTCCTGGGGGCTGGCACTGGGCACTCTGGGTCAGCCTCTGCACTGTGGCTCTTGTTCCTCCTGGTTCCTTTGCCTCAAGCATCTCCTCCCTCTGCCAGGGGATGTCTCCAGGCTGTCCTGGCCACAGATCTCCCAGAGCTGGCCCAGGCTCTCCCTTCCTCCCCCACCACGGGATGGGCTGGATGATGCTGAGCCTGTGAATCCCCCCGAGCCTGGCAGGGCTGGATCCTGGGCACCCTCCTCGTGGATCAGTAACGGCCTCTCCTGTTGTTTCCCACTCCTGCAGGTCCGGGAACGCCTGAGAGCAGCCCTGGAGCGAGTGGCCACCCTGGAGGAGCAGCTGGTGGACGCCCATCGGCAGGTGAGGGGCACCTGGGCACACACCCCGGGCCCTTCCTGGGGCACTGGAGCTGCTCCCCGGGACATTCATGGTTGAAGTTGCTCAAACACCACCCTCAGTTGGTCGTGCAGATCAGAGAGATGGTGTTTGGACCTTTCTGGGGGGAGGCTTTTGTTCTGAACTCGCTGCTTCCATGAAGGATTGTCTGTGTTTGAGGGAACCTTGCAGAGGTTCTGGGAGCCTTTATCTCCCAGGCGAGGTTCCCCCTGTTCTTTTGGCTGTTTGGAGTTCATTTCACTGACACAAACCAACCTGAGTCTGAATTGTTTCAGGAGACTGAGGGTGAATTGGGATCTCCCTGCTTCAGCAGAGACCCAAACCTTGCTTCTCCAAGCCCCTCACCTTGCATTCCCCACCTTTTTCCTTGCTGGAGCCCTGGAATGGGGACCTTGCTGTCCCCAGCCTCCAACCCTTTTCATCCTGGAATCCCAGAATCCCAGAAGGGTTTGGGTGGGAAGGACCTTAAAGCTCACCTCGTTCCACCCTCTACCGTGGGCAGGGACACCTTCCACTACCCCAGGTTGCTCCAAACCTCATCCAGCCTGGCTGTGAACACTTCTAGGGATGGGCTGTTCTTGGAGAGGCATCAACCCTGTTTTCCTTCCTGAAGTTTGTGCCCGGCCACTGCTGCCCAAAGGGAAGAGCCATCCCTCAGCCTGGCCAAGTTCTTCTCCTCTTTCCAGTTCCCAGGATAAGTCTGGTGGTGCTACCTCAGGCTCCCAGGTCCCTCACCTCGCAGGAACCATTCCCCATCCTCTCCCCCCAGAGCAGGACATGATGTCAGTGTTTGTCCCCTGCTCCTGCCAGACCAGGTTTCAAAACTGTTTGGCTTCCAACCCGTAAAATGAGCTGGGAGCCCTGGGATACAGGGCTCAGATCCCTGAGGACTCCCCAGGAAAACCTCCCTCAGTGCTCACTTTCACAGCCCCTCTGCCTCCCTCTCTCTTGGAATCATTAAGGTCGGAGAAGACCTCCAAGACCATCGAGTCCAACCTTTGACCAAACACCCCCATGACACAGAACCATGTCAGGAAGTGCCACTTCCATGTGTTTTTTGGACACTTCCGGGGGTGGGGACTCGACCACTGCCCTGGGCAGCTGTGCCAGGGCCTGACTACCTTTTCCAGGAAGAAATTTCCCCCAAGATCCAACCTAAACCTCTCCTGGCACAGCTGGAGGCCGTTCCCTCTCCTCCTGTCCCTTGTTCCCTGGGAGCAGAGACCGACCCCCCCCGGCTCCCCCCTCCTGTCAGGGGGTTGCAGAGCCAGAAGGTCCCCCCTGAGCCTCCTTTTCTCCAGGCTGAGCCCCCTCAGCTCCCTGAGCATCTCCTGCTGCTCCAGCCCCTTCCCAGCTCCCTCAGTTCTCCTGCTGCTCCAGACCCTTCCCCAGCTCCGTTCCCTTCCCTGGACATGCTCCAGCCCCTCCGTGTCTCTCTTGTTGTGAGGGGCCCAGAGCTGCCCCCAGGACTGGAGGTGTGACCCCACCAGTGCCCCATCTCTGCTGCCCAGATCCATGGGTTGATCCCTGTTCCCGGGCAGGTGGCAGCTCTCCAGCAAGGAGCCGTGCGGGAGGCCCCGGCGGGAGAGCGGGATGAGCCCAAGGAACCAGCCCCGAAGCTTCCCTGGAAGGTGAGAGCCCAGGAACCCCTGCTCTGACCACGCTCAGGGAGGACATAGTTCCTCTAACCCCCTGTTACAGCTCCAGGGGGGTGCTGAGAACCCATTTTCCCTCTCCCTTGGGTCCGACCCCCTGGGAAATGCCCTTCCTGGTGGATCCAGCCCATTCCGGAGTGGTGTCAGGACGCTCCCAGGGGCTCTGCTTCCCAGAGCTCACAGAATCCCAGAATGGTTTGGGTGGGAAGGGACCTTGAAGACCATCCCATTCCAACCCCCTGCCATGGGCAGGGACACCTTCCACCAGCTGCCATCCCCGTTCCACTGTGCCTGTGGAAGCCCCATCCCTGGCCAGAGGAGGCTGTTCCCAGGGGGTCCCAGAGCGCCGTGTCTCCACTCCCACCCCTCCCCCAGATCCCTGCAGGGCCACACTGCCCTGTTGTGTGGCTGCAGGCGATGCCAGAGCCCGGGAGCTGTGGGGCAGCCTGGCATCCCCTTCCCTCTGTGCCTCCCTGCAGCGACTCTCCAACGGCTCCGTGCACCCGGAGGACGAGGCCGGGCGGGTGGTGGAGCTGCAGGAGCTCCTGGAGAAGCAGAACTTCGAGGTGGTGCAGGCCAAGGAGCGCATCTCTGCTCTGGCTGCCAGTGTGGCTGAGCTGGAGGAGGACCTGGGCACCGCCAGGAAGGACCTCATCAAATCCGAGGAGATGAGCAGCAAGTACCAGAGGGACCTGCGAGAGGTGAGCCACTGCCTCCCACTCTGCCAGGCCCGGGATCAGCAGCATCCAGGCTGGGAAGGCCCTGGAAGTCCTGCTGCCTGTGGGGCGTCCCCCAAAAGAGCCCCTGGCCTCTGGGACACTGTCCCCAGGTCCACCAGGAGGACTTCCCTGAGGTGAGAGGCAGACCTGGGGCAGTGAGCTGTGTCCCTGCTAGAAGGTTTTCCTGGGATTACTTGACTCCCTCTTTATCTCTGTCCCACTCTCCTGCCCCTCATCCCTGTCCAAGGCAGGCTTTTCCCTGTGTTCTTGGACTCAGGGTGTCCCAGGCTCACTGGGTGTCCCAGTTATTCCCATACTGGTCGTCACAGATCAGGATGTGACATTCCCCAGGCCCTGGCACAGAAAGAGGACATGGAGGAGAGGATCACCACGCTGGAGAAGCGCTACCTGGCAGCCCAGAGAGAGGCCACCTCCATCCACGACCTCAACGACAAGCTGGAGAACGAGCTGGCCAACAAGGAGTCCCTGCACCGCCAGGTACCGGGGCCTTGCCCGCGGGCTCCCCGTCACCCCGGGGAGCTGGGAGTGGGCGCTGGGGGTGGCTCAGGTGAGCAGGCACCCACCCTGGCTGTCCTCCAGTGCGAGGAGAAGGCCCGGCACCTGCAGGAGCTGCTGGAGCTGGCGGAGCAGAAGCTGCAGCAGACGATGCGCAAGGCGGAGACGCTGCCCGAGGTGGAGGCAGAGCTGGCCCAGCGCATCGCCGCCCTCACCAAGGCAAGGGGAGGGGGCACCGCGGGGCAGAGACAGGGGGGAGGGCGGGAACCTGCAGGGATGGAGCCCTGGCAGCCCAGGGCACCCCGTGCTCATTCCCAGCTGGGGCTCCTCTGTCCCCTGCCGGCCCCCGGGCTGCAGGGATGAGGCACCGCTTTGAAATCCTCCACGTGTGGGGTTTGCTCAGAGATGGCCCTGCTGAGACCACTGGGACCACTCTGGGAAGAGGAGGAAGAGGAAGGACCAGGCTGGGTGTGGGAGGGTGCAGGCCTGGAGGGGGGGTGGACGTGGCCATCCCTGCCCTTCCTGGGTGCTGGAATGGTGCTCAGTCCCTCTGAGGGCACCTCCAGCTCCTGTCACTGTGCTGGCAGGGCTGGTTTGGGCTCCCAGTGAGTGGAAGAAAAGTGGAAGAAAGGTGCTGCATCCCAGGAAGGATGTGGATGCGTGGATGGATGGAGGGATGCGGGAGGGCCCTCGTGGTTCTGGGGAGCATCATCCGAGAGGGCTGCTCTGCTTTTCCCAGGCAGAAGAGAGGCACGGGAGCATCGAGGAGCATCTCCGGCAGCTGGAGACCCAGCTGGAGGAGAAGAACCAGGAGCTGGCCAGGGTAAGTGCTGCCCCTGCAGTCCTGATCCAGCCTTGGCTGCCCTTCCCTTGGCACCTGGACACCTGGGCACACCCGGTGTCTCCGGAGCAGGGTGGGGAGAGCAGTCTGGGTGAGCCTTTCCCATCCAGGACCTCTCAAACTGGAGCCACGCAGGAGCTCATGGCACTCTCTGCTGTGGTTTCCCCCTCTCCCAGGCATCCAGGTCTTTCTGCCGAAATTCCACACCCACTCCTCTCCCAGCAGGTCCCCCTGGGGCAGGCTGGGACCCCAAACTCAAGGGGGAAGGGGAGGCTCCACCTCAGGAGCAGGATCAGCAGGATCCAAAGGGCAGGGAGGCTGGGCTGCTGTGCCAGGGGCTGCACAGTCCCTGCTGTGCTGCTTGGCCAGTGCCTGGGCTGTCCCTGCAGGAGCTGGGATGCCCTTTTCTTGGGCATTATGGATGTGTCCCTGGTGAAGCCCCTGCTGGTTTTGTCCCAGGACAGACGTTTGCAAATCCAGAAGTTCAGCATTCCTTGGGGTTTGGGATGTGCTCCAGTGTGGCTGTTCCTGGCAGATGCACAGCTGGATCTTTCTTGAGGGTCAGGCAGGCAGGATCTCCTTGAATCTCCCTTTCATCCCTGGCTGGGAGTGTCAGAAAACCACAAGAGGGCTGGAAGGGGTGGGTTTGTCCCCAAAAGCTGGGCCTGGTGGGGCAGCTCTGACCCCACAGCAGGCAGGGGATGGCAGGGAGGCACTGAGGCCCTCAGGGCAGGAGGATCAGCCCCTCTGGTCACCGCTTGCTGCCCCAGGCCCGGCAGAGGGAGAAGATGAACGAGGAGCACAACAAGCGGCTCTCAGACACCGTGGACCGGCTGCTGAGCGAGTCCAACGAGCGGCTGCAGCTGCACCTCAAGGAGAGGATGGCAGCCCTGGAGGAGAAGGTACTGCCTGGGGGGCAGGGGGGCCTCTAAGGGGCTGTGAGGGGGGTCTGCAGGCCCTCTGGTGTGGAGCTTCGCCTGCCCACGGCACAGGGTTGGAAGTGCCCGTGCAGGGATGGAGAAATGAGCACATGCAGGACTCCAGCCCTGTGGGAGCACAGGGAGCTGCTCCACGGCTCACCCCGGCCTGGTGAGACCCACTTTCCACTGCCCTCCACCTCCCTCAGCAGCAGGACTTGTCCTGCTCCATTCCCTCCCTCCCCTGTGTCTCTGCTGGCACAGCCTCGGTGCCACCCATGCCCGGCTGTTGGAGCAAATCCCAACTGCATTTTGCAGGAAAAAAATGCAGCATTCATCCTGTCCCACTGCCCACCCCTTCAAACCCTCCTGTCCCCCAAACCCGGGCTGATGTGTCCTCTCCAAGCCAGGGCAGTGCCCCTGAGCAGCCTCCCAGCTCCCACCTCACTCTGGGGAACGGGGTTTTCCTTGGAGCAAAGCAGCTGAAGCTGCTGCTGCCCCAGTGTGAGTTCAACCAGCTGGAGATCAGCTGGCTCCGGGCAAGGATTCACCTCCCAGTGCCAGTGGGAGGTCAGGCCTTGGTGACTCTGCTCCCTTTGGGTTCCTGCAGGGCCCAGACTCCCCTAAGCCAGCCAGGGCACACAGGGCTCCATCCCCCCTGATGCCCCCAGGCCTGGCTCTGTGTCCTTGCTGCTGTCCCCTCCTGTCCCACCCACGTGTGGCTCTGCCAGCGTGTCCAGTCCTTCAGCAGTGTGTCCAGGGGCTCTGGATAAAGAGCAGGACCACAGGGATGAGCCCAAACCCCACCCCAGCAAGTCACAGGGACCAGAGTGGTGGCACCTGCTCCCCAGCCTGGTGCCACCCAGAGAGCTTCTCCAGGTCTTTCATGGGAAAAAAAGCGATCCTGTTTGACCTCCAGCTTTCCTTCCCCCCAGAAAAGAGCACTGGGGCAGGCAGCTGCAAACTACACAGGGGAGGTTTAGATGAGATATTAGGATGCAAAAAACAATTCACAGGAAGTTTTATAGTGTTGGCACAGGCTGCCCAGGGCAGGGGTGGGGTCACCATCCCTGGGAGGGATCAGCAAACGCGGGCATGTGGCACCTGGGGACAGGGTTTGGGGCTGAACACGGCAGTGCTGGGGAAATGGTTGGACTCGGATCCCAGAGGTCTTTTCCAACCTTTTCCCAACAATTCTGTGGTTCTGTGAACACACCTGCTCCCTCCCCTGGCTTGGATGTAGGGGACACATTTTCCCTGGATCCAGCTGCCCGAGGGGGAGTTGAGCTCCTCTCACACACAGTTCTAACCCTCGAGCCCTGCCCATCCAACCCCTCGTCCCTGTATGCCCTCCCTGCCCGGGTTTGGGGCAGGAGATGGTCCATGGCCACCCTGCCTGAGGGGCAGGATCTACAAAGGGGACCTGTCCAGGGGCAGGTGGGTGTTCCTGCAGCTCAGGGAGCCTTTGCCACCCCTGTGCCCGGTGCCCATCCCACAGAGATCCCACTCTGGCCATTCCTGGGCCGTTTCCTAAACGGTCTCTCTTTTTCTTTCCTCTTTTTTTTCCCTTTTTTTTTTTTTTTTTTTTTTTTTTTTTTTAAAGAACACATTGTTACAAGAGCTGGAAAACACCCAAAAGCAGATAGAGGAACACCAGCACGACAAGGTAAACGAGGCTGCAGGTAGCCTGCCCCAGTGGCTGCACTTCCTCACTCCAAACCCCGGGACAGGGGCGGTGGCCCCTCCCAAAGTGCCCTAGTTTTGGAGGAGCTGGGATCCTGGAATGCCCAGCAGCAGGAGGGCACAAACTAACCCACGGCAGTGGCTGGATAGAAGCTGCCCCCCACCTCCCTGGAGACCCCCGGGGCGGGTCCCTGCCAGGCATGTTTGGTCCTGTCTCCCAGTTTCTGTCACACTCGTCCATCCCCGACCTCCCAAGGCCTGGAGGGCTTTGCCCATAGATAGAGGAGGGATCAGGCAGCAACACCCCCTTCCCCTCAAGGCTTTCTCAAACTTAGGGGGGATCAGCTCCACACCCAGCCTACAGGAGCCCTGGAGGTCTCACACTCTGAGCTAAAGCATCTGAGTATGACCTGCATGAACCCCCGTTGGCCCGTGCTGGAAACGTGAAGGGTTGTTGCAGCTTTTGGAAGCTTTTGGCAGCAATGGGAAGCTTTTGGGATGTGCCTCATGTCTCATGCATGGCTGGGGGGGCTGGGGGTCTGCTCTCCTCCTTGGCCAAGGCCTCGCTGTCCCAGATGCTCCAAGGACTCGTGTGACACTGTCGGGATGTCACCTGCCCTGGCTCAGCCTGTTTGCCCCCCTGACTGGATCCTGCTGTGCAGGAGAGCCCTCCCTCCCCTCTCTCCTTCCCTGCCTGCAGCCTCCCCTCTCCCATCTCCCAGTGCAGGCACAGCTTCCCCCTGGGAATGGGGCTGGCAGCAGGAGGGGCAGGACCAGCAGCAAGTTTGGCTGGTGGGTCCCTCCCTGCTGGTCCTTTGCCAAGGGACAAAGTGCTGTGTGGAGAAAACTAGAGCATCCAACTGGGACCAATTCTCCTTCATCTCCCAAACCAGCATGGCTTGAGCACACACACATCTGTCTGTCTGTCTGTCCTGTGACCCCTCCCCAGCATCCTCCTCCTCTGTGCCTGCATGAGCTGTTTCTTTACTGTCCAAGATGCTTTAAACCTGGGGTGGGGATTTCTGAAGGGAATATATCCCTGGCAATGGCCCAGGATTTGGATTCCCTCAGTCCTGGCAGCTCCTCAGAGCCAAACCCAACCCCTGCCTGTCCCGTCTCGCCCCGAACAGCGGCGACTGTCCGACGAGATCGACAAGCTCAGGCTGGAGGTGGATCAGCTCAAGACCAGGAGTGGGACCTTCGTGGAGAGTGTTCACTCCAGGTAAGAGCCAAGCCCCTGCCCCCCAGCTGTGGGGGCGTTTTGCTTTAGGGGACCCCAAGGTGCTGTTGGCATCAAGCATTGCTGGTGGCTCTCAGGGCAGGCTCAGCTCCAGCCCTGCAGTGCTGTCCCTCCTTGGATCTGCCCTGGATCTAAACACAGACTGTTTGGATCAGCTCAGCCCAGTGAATGGCCCAAAATTTGCTCTTTTAAGGGTGAAAAACCACTGGGATTTGTTTCTTTTTCTGCACAAAGGGCTTGGGGGTTAATTTTCCATGAAAGCTGGATGTTCACCAAAGGCCTTTTCCCCTGTGGTGTGCAGGGGGAGACAGAGGAATCATTTTTGAGGTGTTGCAGGTCAAACAGAATGAACTCCATTTTTCCCCCTCCTTTCTACCATGGTCCTCCCACACCCTTTCATTTAAAGTCTCTGGGAGATGGGGATGTCCCAGCCCAGAGCTGCTGGAGCAGAGGTGAGTCCGTGGAGTCTCAGCCTCCAGCACTGACTGGGATGCCCAGCAGGAAAACAGGGGGTGGAAAAGGAGGTGACAGCTCAACGTGCACCCCAGGGTGCTGCTGCAGCTGCCTGGGACAGCACACCCTCTCCTGAGCACTCTCAGCGTGGGTTCACGACACCGAGGGGTCAATGGGAGCAAAATTCCCCTCTCAGGAAGGCTGGAAAAGCTGGGAAGGAGCCACTGAGACCAACCTCAAACCTGCCAGCAGAGAGTGCAAGGTCTGGAGGCCCCAGGTCTGTCGTGGAGAGAAGAAAAGGGAAGAGTGAGGAAGAGCCTGCGAGGATCAAGGGTTGGCTGAGTGCTGGAGGAGAGTCTGGAGCACTTGTGGGACCCCTTTGGGTCTGTGAGAGCAGGGTGGACAATCCAATGGGACTTTTTAATATTTCTTGGAGGAAAAATCAACAGAAATCTGGAGTTGCAGAGTAATCCCCCAGCTGAAACGTCAGCTTTTGCCTGAGGTGCCTTTGTCTGGTCTTAGCTGGGGAGCAGCTTTGTCAGCAGCTCAAATCCCCCCTGGAACTCGAGCTGTGCCTTTGCCTGCACAGCCCAGGCTGGCACAGCCCAGCTGCTCGTGGGGGTGGTTTTGTCTGGGCTCACTGGGGAGACCAGCCCTGGGTCTGCCCTGCAAACCAGGCCCACCGTGGTGGGCAAACACAACCTGCCTCGGACACCTGCTTTTGTCACCTGAAATGCAGCTTAAATTCAATAAACCTCGTGGTTCCTGTGGGAGTGTGTGCAGGGAGGAACGGCCCCGAGCCCCTGGGTGGGTGCTCAGGGCAAGAAGGAGCAGCCAGGAAATGTGGAGACACGGATGGAGTGCCAGGAGTGGCAGGAAGTGTCCTTGTGTCCAGCAGCCTCTGCCGTGCTCTGCCTGGCACAGGAGCTGCTCCCCAGCATGGAGGAGGAGGAGGAGGAGGAGGAGGAGGAGGAAGAAGTTCCAGCTGGTTCCTGCTGGGAGATATCAGACAGTGCTCATGTCCTCACACCTGGAAGGTGCTTCCAGTGGCATTTTATTCACGGAATTATGGAATCATTAAGTTTGGAAGAGGCCTCCAAGGTCAAGTCCAACCTTTGTCCAAGTCCCATTCCCACTAAATCCTCTCTCCAAGTGCCATGTCCACTTGTTTTTTGAACACTTCCAGGGGTGGCAACTCCACCACTGCCCTGGCAGCCTGTGCCAGTGCTTGACCACTCTGTCAGTGAAGAAGATCTTCCTGATACCAACCTGAACCTCCCCTGGTGCGACTTGAGGCCGTTTCCCCCTGTCCTGTCACTTGTTCCCCCATCGGGGTGTTTTTTCATGAAAATGTTGAAGGAAACAGAGAAAGGAGAGGAGCTCCCTGGCTGGCCCCTGTGGTGCATGTGGGGATGGAGAAGACACAGGTTGTGCTGTGGGTGTTGGGAGGTTTGAGCTGTTCTGGAGGGGGAAAGGCAGGAGGAGCCTGTTCAGCCCCCCCTGCACTGGGGGGTTTTGGGGACAACTGGCTGGATTCCCCCCTGGGGTGCCCAGGATGGGGAGGGAGCAGCCTGGGAGGGCCCAGGGGAGAGCTTCCTACAGCCTGTGGGAAAGGTGGAGTCTCCTGAGGGAAGAATCATTGGGATCTGCAGCTTCCTCCCAAGGGGCAGCTCCGACCTCTGCTCTGGGTGAGATTGGGCAGGGACAGCACCCAGGGAACGGCTGGAGCTGTGCCAGGGCAGGGTCAGGTTGGATCTCAGCAAAAGG